AAAAAAAAAAAAAAATGGAAAAAGAGAAAAGGAGTAAACTTCAAACCAAATAGCTAATAAATATTATTTAAAGCAAAATGCATCTATAAATCCACAATTTATCATTTTAATTAAACTATTTAAATAAAAAATATAAAAGAAAAAATCACTTTTTAAAATAAAGAAAACCAATGGAATTAAATGCAGAACTATCACCAAATACTCCCTTTCAATAGGCCCCCGAACTGCCCAAGAAAAACAAGCCCTTCCATGCTGAGAAAAACTAAAAAGAAATAGAGTATAAAGAGCTCTAAAAAATGAAATCAATATTAACAAACTTGCAGCTCATATACTTCACTTTAATACCCCCCCTATTAGAAATACTTCTCTAAAGAAAGACATAAAAGGAGGCACTGCTATATTAATCATACAAAAAATAAATCAAAAAAAAGTTAAAGCAGGCATTAAAGTTATTAACCCCCGCAACATTATTAAATTTCGAGTATGATAGCGATCATAAACAAACCCAATCAAACAAAATAAAGCGCTTGAACAAAACCCGTGGCCTAATATTATTATATAAGACCCAAAACCCCCCCATAAAGTGCCTGAAAAAACCCCCGCAATTAAAAGCCCTATGTGAACTACCGAAGAATAAGCCACTAAAACCTTCAAATCAACTTGATAAAAAGCATACACTCTTAAAAATACAGCCCCCCATAATGAAATAATTATTAATAAACCTCCTAACATTCTTAAACTTACACAAAACTTTATGAGTCCAATAACCCTCATCAACCCAAACCCCCCCATTTTTAATAAAACAGCAGCCAAAAGTATAGACCCCGCCACAGGAGCCTCAACATGAGCCTTAGGAAGCCAATAATGAACCCCAAATATAGGCAACTTGACTAAAAAAGCTAAAAAAAGAGCCAACATAATAATAAAAGAGCAGCAACCCCACTTTTGCCCTAAATAATCATAAACAAAAAAATTAACTCATAACAACCCAGGATAAGATAAAATAATAATAAGGTAGGGTAGAGACCCGACTACAGTGTACATAAATATATATATTCTAGCCCTCACTCGCTCAACTTGACCCCCCTCGCTAAACAAATACCAAAAAATAGGCACAAGGCTACACTCAAAATAAAAATACAAATAAAATACATCTTCTACAAAAAAAAAATTCAATAAAGCATACACTAAAAAAAGCAAAAAAAACCCCCTGTATGTATCATTTATCCCCCCTATCATTAAAGCTATTAAAATAATAATTCAAATAGTTATTTCTACTAAACCCACTCCTATAACACTAAAATTTATCCCCATTTCACAGTATTCTCCTAAGACTGATACCCCTACATTGCCTAAAACTCTTAAAAAATAAACAAATAATCCCACTAACCCTATAAAAAGACTAACCCCCGAGTTTAATAATAATATAAAAACTATCGTAAATAAAAAAAAATTTATTACCCCCATCAATTAATTTACAATATCTAACCCCCGAACAAAGTCATTCCCATTAATATAAGATAAAAGAATTAACAAACATAAACCTAAACTAGCCTCACAAACCCCTACCACCAAAAATATTATTAAAACCCCATAATCCCCTACAGCCCCTATATAAAAAACCACTACTAAAGCCGTTATAATAAATAAAATTTCTAAAGACATTAATATTATTAAAACCCCCCTACGTTGGAAAACAAAAGAAACCATAAAACAAAATACCCCAAATTTTACAAATATCATTCAAATACCCACAGAAAATAGTATAACTAGTACATAAATTTTGGAGATTTAAAGAGATAGTCCTATCTTTTCTGAATCAATATATGACGTAAATCCAACCCAATTATTAGCCCTATTAATAATGCCCTTATCGACCTCCCGGCCCCCTCAAACCTAAATTATATATGAAATATAGGATCTCTTTTAGGAATCTGCCTTATCATCCAAATTCTAACCGGCCTCTTCCTAACAATACACTATTGTAGAGACACCTCTTTAGCTTTTTCTTCTATCAACCATATTATACGTGACGTTAATAATCTCTGATTAATTCGAATCGCTCACGCAAACGGGGCCTCCTTTTTTTTTATCCTAATTTACACCCATGTAGGCCGGGGCCTCTATTTTTTTTCTTTTCAATTTAAACATCTCTGACTCTCAGGAGTTTCAATTCTTCTTATTTTAATAGCAACAGCCTTCCTGGGGTATGTTCTCCCCTGAGGCCAAATGTCCTTCTGGGGAGCCACTGTAATTACTAACCTTCTAAGAGCTATCCCTTACGTAGGAATAGATATCACTCAATGAATCTGAGGAGGATTTGCCATTAACAATGCTACACTAACTCGATTCTATAGTCTCCATTTTATTCTCCCCTTCATTCTTCTCGCCCTTGTAATAATCCACCTAATCCTCCTTCATGAAAAAGGCAGTAGAAACCCTCTTGGCCTCCCTCTAAACTTAGATAAGATTAACTTTCACCCATTTTACACTCTAAAAGATCTTTTAGGCCTTTGTTTCTTCCTTTTATTTTTTCTATTAATCATCCTTCAACTCCCTTATGTTTTTTTTGATCCTGACAACTTTATTCCTGCAAACCCCATAGTAACCCCCCCTCACATTCAGCCTGAATGATATTTTCTTTTTGCGTATGCCATCCTACGGTCAATCCCTAATAAATTAGGAGGAGTCATTGCCCTATTTCTAAGCATCCTTATTCTAGCAACACTCCCTTTTACAATAAAAAATAACCTTAAACTTCCCAATGCTTACCTAAGCCATAAAACAATATTCTGAATTTTAACCGCTGTATTCTTCATACTAACCTTTTTAGGATCCTGCCCAATTGAATTCCCCTTTGTTAACCTTAGTTTAATTTTCACAATTCTTTATTTTTTTATCTTTATTATTATACCTCTTCTTTCAATTTAATCCCCTCTAAATATGTCACACTAGCAGCAACCCTGTTAGTGTGGCATTTTACACGAAATTTTTATCAATTTATATCAAATAATCCCCCCCCCCTCTAAATATGTCACACTAGCAGCAACCCTGTTAGTGTGGCATTTTACACGAAATTCTAAGTTAGGTATCTTTTATTCTAAGATCCAAAATTTAGAAGAACTAACTCCTTTCGTACTAAAGTCCCTACTTACCCTCAGTAGATAGAAACCAACCTGACTTACGCCGGTCTGAACTCAGATCATGTAAGATTTTAAAGGTCGAACAGACCTAACAATTTTAGCTTCTACACCAAAAGTTAATTTTAATCCAACATCGAGGTCGCAAACTATTTTACCTATGTGAACTATCCAAAATAATTACGCTGTTATCCCTAAAGTATCTTATTCATTTAATCAACCTTATTGGCTAAAAAGAAAGATTTTTAATCTTTTTCTATCGCCCCAATCAAATACCTCTTAACAAGCATACCTTCCATCCAAGCCAAGAAATATTAAGATTTATAGGGTCTTCTTGTCCCACTTTTCTATCTTCTCTTTTTCAAGAAAAAATCAAATTCTACTCTTTACTATAATAAAGCTAAATTTCATAATTCCATTCTCTTAGCGCCCATTTAAAGCCTTATTTCAATACCTTTGTGTGGTATAACCACAGCAATTTAAACCCATTGAGCAGAAAATATTTTTAACACTAACCTAAAAACAATGTTTTTGATAAACAGTTGAAATTTTTTTTTGCCGAATTTATAATAGTAATTTTATTCTTTATACTTATTCTCTCATAATTATTATAAGTCCCTATTTTCTTAATTAAATTTCTTAATTAAATTTTTTACAATCTAGTATAATTTATTAAAATTATAGCCAATTTAAAGCCTTATTAATAAATTAATCCATTTTATAATAAATTAATATAAGCTTATCCCTATACTATAAAAATTATTTAAATGTATATTTATTAATACTTAATTTAAATAATATAAATATATAATTTATCTCATTTAACCAGATATAACTAAATCGTTTAAAATTTCATTACTTAATTTTATTTTTTTATTTTATTTCTACAAAATAATCCAATAAAACCATGCCCCTTAGCCTTCGGGATTTAAATATTTATTATATTTTTCAAAAAACCCTTATACAAAAGGTAATCTAAATCCTTCTCCCCATTTAATAAATATTTCAATTATCCTTTACAGTACCAAAATACAAAAATTTTAATATTATTTTATTAAATAGTTAATCTTTTATTAAATAACTTGCCCACTATAATTTTTCATTTTAAACTTTAAAAACGGTATAATAATACTATCATTCCTTGTAAAAGAATTGTCGACAAATTTGACTTCATTTTTTTATAAGAACACCTTCCAGTACCCTTACTTTGTTACGACTTATCTCATTATTATATGAGAGTGACGGGCAATATGTACATATTTTAGAGTTAAATTCAATAAAACATTCTTTATTTTATTTACTTTTAAATTTTTCTTATTTAAAGTACCTTTCAACCGCAACTTGTAAAAATAATTATTCATATAATTCACCTCAATCTTTAATATAAGCTGCACCTTGATCTAATCTTCTTAAACTTTGTTTACCTTCTTATAATTACTTTTCAATACTATAAAAATAACGGTATACAAACTGTTTCATACAAATTAAAATAAGGTATAGGCGTCATATCCTTTATAGGGCAAATTCCTCTAAACAAATTAAAATACCGCCAAATTTTTTTGTTTTCATGTAATGCACTTACTAACACTTTTTCAAATTATTTTATAATAGGGTATCCAATCCTAGTTTTATATTATTTTATAAAATTCATCTATTTTATATACTATTTTAAATAAAAATTATACTTTTAAATTAAAATTATTTAATAAAAACTCATCATTTTTTAAAAAAAGTACCATATTAACTAATTCTCTTGTATAACCGCTGCAGCTGGCACAAAATTAGCCAAATTATTTAATTTTAAACTTTATTTTTTTAAAATTTTTTATAAATTTAACTTCTTTTTTATAAAATTTTTTTAAAAATTTTATATTTTTTAATTTTTTAATTAAAGTTTTAAAAAAAAATTAATATTTAACCAAAATTAAATTTTTTTTAAAAACGAAAATTTCAAAATTTTGATTTTTTTGCCAAGATAGTCCTATATTTGGTCGAAGACGTGGTTTTCTAAAAATCAGAGTAGGATACTCCTTACTTAGTACTATCCTATTTATAGGCATTAATCCTAGATGTCAATTGTAATTGTCTCAAACCACGCGATACTTTTTGGAGTATATTGCCTACAGTTAGTGTAGGAGTTATAACCCTTTATGTCTATAACGAACATTATCACAGGCCTCCCGGCCCAATATTTCTTGGACTGACTGCTTAAATAAGCCTAATGACAACCCGGATAGGATGCATATTATGCGTTTTTCGCAGAGTTTTCTGCTGCGCAAAACCCCGAAAAGAGGTTTTTTTCGTCATTTTTTTTAAAAAAAAAAGGATTTTTTTAAAATTCCTTTTTTCAAAAAAAAAATTTTTTATATTTTTTAATATTTTTTAATATTTTTTAATATTTTTTAATATTTTTAATATTTTTTAATANATTTTTAATATTTTTAATATTTTTAATATAATTACATTAATTTTTTTATATTTTTTAATATTTTTAATACAGTTATATTAATTTTTAAAAAAATAAATTTCTAATGCTATTATAGCCTCCTTGAATCCTAAATTCAACACATTTATCTGCCAATTAGAAAATTCTATTACCCCTAATTAAATTAAATGTAATATGCCTGAAAAAGGGCTGTTTTGATAGAACAGATCATGTAATTTTTTACTATTACAACACTCCTCTTAATTTTTAGTGTAATGGCACATCAAATTTTGATTTTGAAAGAAATGGCCCTCTCCATTAAAATTACAAATAATAGGTAAACCCTTTGAATTTATCAAAAAAAAAGTATTTTATTTTTATTTCTCTTATTATTTATAATACTCTTATCTTCTCCATATTCCAATCACAACCGTGGATTTTTTTAATTCTAATTTTATTTCTAACAATCCTAATTAACTTCCTAATTTATACACACTTATGTAATTCCTGAGTTATACTTATAATTATATTTGCTATAATTAGAGGAGTCCTTGTTCTTTTTAGCTACATATCCTCTCTTTCAACAGACGGCCCTATAGTTAAAAAAAATCCCCTTATAGCCTGACTCCCCTTAATTTTTTTTTTTAATATTTTTTATTTTTTATTTCTATATTGAAAATTATTAAATAATACACACCTACATTCCCAACTCCCCTTACACTTTTTTTCCCCCTCTTTTATTTCCTCCTTTTTAATAACTCCTTTTAATCTTTTTACTTTTATCTTTGGCCTTCTTTACATCCTAATAGCCTTATTCATTCTCATAGAAATCATTAACCATAATAAAAATAATTTACGAATTAAAATTTCATTATAAAGTAAGCTAATTTAAGCTAGTGGGCTCATAATCCAAAAATGACATCTATCCTTTATAAATATTATTAATAAGTTCTTTTCAAACTTTTTACAAAATAAAAACTATTCTTATTTGTATATATTTTCTTTTATTCTCATCTATTGCCCTTGCTTTTTCTAGCCCCTCTTTCTTTTTTTTCTGAATTACAATAGAAATTAACACCTTCTGCTTCATTCCTGTAATTTACTCTAATAACCCCTTTAATAAATCGCACTTAATAAAGTATTTTATTATTCAAACATTTGCAAGCAACCTTTTCATTATAAGATGTTTTTCTAACTTTTTTAATGATTTTAATAATATTTTTATAATCCTTTGTTTACTTATTAAACTTGGTATAATACCCTTTCATAACTGATTTATTCAAATAACAAACTCTATCAACTTTCTCAATCTTATTATTCTTTTTACCATCCAAAAAATTATCCCCCTTTCTCTCACAGGAAATTTCTTTTTTAACCTGCCCAACAATATAAACGCCCTCATCTTAATTATCTTATTTAATCTTATCTTAAGAAGAGTCTCCCTCTTCTCCTTAGATAATTTTAAAAAAATCCTAGCAATATCAAGAATTAATCACATTAGATGAATACTATTAGCAATAATTAATAATCACTCTTGATTCACCTATTGACTTATCTACTCCCTTATTACCCTCTCTGGACTTTATTTTATTTTTAAAACCCCAGCCCCCTCTCTCTCTCAAACCCTAGCCTTTAATCAAAATTCCCTCATATTCCTTACCTTTTTTTTCTTAGTAATAAGAGGCATCCCCCCTTTTTTAGGATTTTATCTAAAATGAATAATTCTTCAAACTATGGCCCCCTTTAACACCCTCCTCCTTATTACCATAATATCCAGCGCTCTTATTAGCTGTTTTTTTTACCTCCGCTGCTGTTTTAACCTATTCACATCCACAAACTTTTCTAAGCTTCTTCTAAAACCCCACCTTCCTATTACTTTTTTTTTGATAAATATCTCTATTCTTTTTTTCTTCCCTCTCGTAAATTAATTTTACTATTTTAATTTATATTTAAAATATTGGTCTTGTAAACCAAAAAAAGAAAAATCTAAATAGTAATCCCCGTTTATTTAACTTAAATTAAAGTGTATATTTTGAAAATATAAAATAGAAACTCTCTAATAAACTTTAAGAATTTAAGTTATTTAAACTATTTATTTTCAAAATAAAAAATATTTCACCATAAATAATTCTTACTAATATGGCAGACCATATGCAAAGAATTTAAACTTCTTCTATACTTTTTAGTTGTTAGTAATTTTTTTTGTTTTTAGTAAAGATCTCTCTATTACCCTTCTTCTCTTTTTATGAAGCCTTCTTTTATTTCTTTTGAGTGTAGCTTTTATTACCCTATTTGAACGAAAAATCCTAGGCTACACCCAAGCTCGAATAGGACCGTTTAAAGCAGGCTTAAGTGGCCTCTTTCAACCCTTTGCTGATGCAATTAAACTTAGATGTAAAGAAAACCTATTTTTCTTTAATATTAACTTAAGAATGTTCCTCCTCAGCCCCAGTCTTCTTCTTATCCTCTCCATTCTTCTCTTATTAACCTTTTATTGAAATTTTTTTAACCTCTTCAATTTTGAATTATTATTTTTTCTCTTAATCTCCAGATTTAACGTCTACGGAGTTCTAGGAGCCGGATGAAGCTCAAACTCTAAATACGCCCTCATTGGAGCCTACCGGGGAGTAGCCCAAATAATTTCTTATGAAATTAGCATATCCTTTATCATTTTAACAGTTATTCTTTTTAATAAATCATATAATTTAAAATCCCTTCTCTCCTCTCAAAATTACACATGAATAATCTTTCTATTTTGAGGAATATTTTCTATATGATTAATCTCAATCCTAGCTGAAACTAACCGAACCCCCTTCGATTTTGCAGAGGGGGAATCTGAATTAGTATCTGGATTCAATATTGAGTACGGAAGCCTAGGCTTTATACTTCTTTTCCTTGCAGAATATAGTAACATCCTTATAATAAGCTATATTACATCCTTTTTATTCCTTAAATCCCCTAGACTTCTGAATTTTAAAACCCTCTTAATTGCCACTTTTTTTATGCTAAGTCGTAGAACTTTCGCACGATACCGAATCGATCAATTAATAAACATAGCCTGAACAACCATCCTTCCTTATAGTATTTTAGGCCTGTGATTTTCCTTTCTATTCCAATACTTATATTAACATTTCTTAAAAAAAACTCTATCTATAAACTTGCAATTTATTATTTTTATTAAACTATAAGAAATAACCCCCCCCCTCTCTCTCTTTTAATCTGACAAAAGAAACTTTTATTTCGTAAGTAAATTTACAATTTACCGCTTTACCTCAGCCATTTTGACTTCTTGCGATGATTTTACTCCACAAACCATAAAGATATTGGAACTCTTTACCTAATTTTTGCCGCCTGAGCAGCNCCCCCCCCCTCTCTCTCTTTTAATCTGACAAAAGAAACTTTTATTTCGTAAGTAAATTTACAATTTACCGCTTTACCTCAGCCATTTTGACTTCTTGCGATGATTTTACTCCACAAACCATAAAGATATTGGAACTCTTTACCTAATTTTTGCCGCCTGAGCAGCCATAATAGGAACAGCCCTCAGTATAATTATTCGAATTGAATTAGGACAACCTGGCTCTTTTATTGGAAATGACCAGATTTATAATGTTATTGTAACCGCTCATGCCTTTGTCATAATTTTTTTTCTAGTAATACCTGCAATAATTGGAGGATTTGGTAACTGACTTGTTCCTCTTATACTATCTGCCCCTGACATAGCATTCCCACGTTTAAATAATATAAGCTTCTGACTTTTAATTCCTTCACTCTTTCTCATAATCATATCTTCCATAGTAGAAAATGGGGCTGGAACCGGATGAACCGTATACCCCCCCTTAGCTAACAATATCTCTCACAGAGGGGGAGCTGTAGACTTAGCTATCTTTAGTCTGCATCTAGCCGGTATTTCCTCCATCCTTGGTAGAATTAATTTTATTACTACAATTATTAATATACGCCCTCAAATAATAAAACTAGAACAAATACCTCTTTTTGTATGATCTGTCTTAATCACTACAGTCCTCCTCCTCTTATCCCTTCCTGTTTTAGCAGGAGCAATCACTATGCTCCTTACTGATCGTAATTTTAATACTTCCTTCTTTGACCCAAGTGGGGGTGGAGACCCTATCCTTTACCAGCATCTTTTCTGATTTTTTGGCCATCCAGAAGTTTATATTCTTATTTTACCCGGTTTTGGAATAATTTCTCATATTATTTGCCATCAAACAGGTAAAAAAGAACCCTTCGGAACATTAGGAATAATCTATGCTATACTAGCTATTGGTGTACTAGGTTTTATTGTTTGAGCTCACCATATATTTACAGTAGGCATAGATATTGATACCCGTGCCTACTTCACCTCTGCCACAATAATCATTGCAGTGCCTACTGGAATTAAAATTTTTAGCTGAATAGCCACCCTCCACGGCTATAAGTTCAAATCAGACCCCCCTCTCCTATGATCTGTAGGTTTTATCTTACTTTTCTCTATTGGGGGAATAACTGGAATAATATTAGCCAACTCCTCCATTGATATTGTTCTTCACGATACTTATTACGTAGTAGCCCACTTCCACTATGTCCTATCTATAGGAGCCATTTTTGCTATTATTGCAAGAATCTGCCATTGATTTCCAATAATATTTGGCCTCTCTATAAATAACAAATTTTTAAAATACCACTTCTATATAATATTTCTAGGAGTTAATCTTACTTTTTTCCCCCAGCACTTTTTAGGTCTAAGAGGAATACCCCGCCGATATTCTGATTACCCTGACTTTATAATACTCTGAAATATAATTTCATCCCTAGGGTCGATTATCTCCCTATTTAGCATGATCTACTTTTTTTTTATTATTTGAGACATATTTTTTAGACAAAAAAAGATTATCTCCGCTCAATATACTAACTCAAGCGTAGATTGAGCTTTAAATCAACCGCCTATAGCCCATACCTTTACCTCTATTACTAAACTAACCATTTAAACCATTAATAATTCTTTATGTCAACATGATCCACAATCTCCTTTAATGATGCAAACTCTCCTATTATAGAACAACTTATTTTTTTTCATGACCATACTATAACTATTATCATAAGAATAACAATTCTTATTTCCTATATACTTTTAAATATTATTTTAAGCCCTTTTTACAATCGCAACCTAATTGAAAACCAATATATTGAGACAATTTGAACCATTATCCCAACAATCCTTCTATTATTTATTGCTCTGCCAAGATTACGCCTACTTTACTTAATAGAAGAAAACTTCGAGCCTAGCCTTAACATTAAAATTTTAGGCCATCAATGATACTGATCTTACGAAATTTCCAATTTTAATTTTTCCTTTGACTCCTTCATAATCCCTGAAACTGACCTTGCAAAAAATAACTTTCGCTTATTAGATGTAGATAACCGCCTCGTTATCCCCTTCCACACCCACATCTCATTTTTAGCCTCTTCTGCAGATGTTATCCATTCTTGAGCTGTCCCCTCATTAGGATTAAAAATAGATGCTATCCCAGGACGATTAAACCAAATAACATCTTTTGCTAACCGCCCTGGAATCTTCTACGGCCAATGCTCAGAAATTTGTGGAGCAAATCATAGATTTATACCTATCTCCCTCGAGATTACTAACGTAAATAATTTTTTCTCATGAATTAACACTTTTTTTAGGAATGGCTGATAAAAGCAAAAGTCTCTTAAACTTTCTATAGATAAAACCTATCTTTCCTAAATTGTTAGTTAAAAAAAATAACATAGAAATGTCAATTCTAAATTATATAAAAATTATACAATTTAATCCCACAAATAAACCCCATAAATTGATTATTTATTTTCATTATTCTTTTATTTTCTATTATATTTATTTGAACTAACTTTTGATTTAAAAAAAATCTCAACCCCTCCTCTAAAAAAACAACATTTATTTCTACAAAATTTAATCCCCTATGATAACTAATCTATTCTCTATTTTTGACCCTTCAACTAGTAAAATATTTAGACTAAACTGACTTAGTCTTTTTATCCCTCTTCTCCTTAGCCTTCCTCTCTTTTGAACAACCCCGTCCCGACCATTAATATTCACCTATATCATTTTCAAAAATATCTCAAAAGAAATTAATATAAACCTTAAAAATCAAAACCTTAACTCTTCTCTTATATTCCTAGCTCTCTTCTATTTTATTATTATCAATAATCTCATAGGCCTTTACCCCTATATCTTCACTGCCACAAGCCACCTAACAATTACTTTAGGCCTAGCCTTCCCCTTATGACTCTCCCTCATACTATGAGGTTGACTTAAAAAAACAAATAACATATTTGCGCACCTAGTACCCCTAGGTACTCCCCTGCCCTTAACCTTCTTCATAGTTTTAATTGAAAGTATTAGTCTTCTAATCCGCCCCATCACCCTCTCTGTTCGATTAGCAGCAAATATAATCGCAGGCCATTTACTTTTATCCCTTCTAAGTAATATTAGAGAAAAACTCCCTAGTGCTAATATCTTTATCTACCCCCTTATTCAAACCCTCCTATCCCTAGAATATGCAGTTGCCATAATCCAAAGTTACGTTTTTATCGTCCTAATTTCTCTCTACCTAGCTGAAATTAACTATGACATACCACCCATATCATATAGTAAACCCCAGTCCCTGACCCCTACTAATAGCCCTCTCAATTGGCTCTATAATCACAGGCCTAGCCTATTCTTTAACCTCAGGATTTGATTCTTGTATAAAATTCTGAGGATGACTCCTTACTAATATTTTTGCCTTCCTATGAAGACGAGACATTATCCGAGAAGCCACATACCTTGGTTACCATACTAATAAAGTTTATGAAGGATTAAAGCTTGGCATACTCCTCTTTATTCTAAGAGAAATCTTATTTTTCTTTAGTTTTTTCTGAACCTATTTTCATGGAATACTTGCTCCCGATTTAGAACTAGGCCTAGCCTGACCTCCAAAAGGTATTAACAACTTTAACCCATTCCAAATTCCTCTTCTTAATACTTTAATCCTTCTCTCCTCAGGCATCTCAATTACATGATCCCACCACAGACTTATCAACAATAAAACATCACAAAGCATTCTTAGACTAAAAATTACTATTGCCCTCGGATTATACTTCTCAATCCTTCAAGCTTTTGAATATTTTATAGCACCCTTTACCATAGCAGATAGTATGTTTGGAAGAATTTTCTTCCTTGCTACAGGGTTTCATGGCCTACATGTTCTTATTGGAACACTCTTTATCCTTGTATCCCTTTTTCGAATAAATACCCTCCATTTCAACAAGTTCCATCACTTCGGATTTGAAGCAAGAGCTTGATACTGACATTTTGTGGATGTAGTCTGAATATTTTTATATCTTTTCATATATTGATGAATTTTCTAAACTATTATTTTATTAGTATAATTAGTACCCCTAGCTTCCAACTAGGAAGTTTTTTTTAAAAATAAAATAATTTTAATTATTATAATACCCCTCATTCTATCCTCCCTTCTTATTATACTATTCAAAACTTTAATCAACATCTCTAAAAATAAAATTAATAAACTCAATACCTTTGAATGTGGATTTGAAACTCTTTCTAACAATCGCCCCCCCTTCAGCATTCGTTTCTTTAAAATTATTATCATTTTCTTAATCTTTGATATTGAAATTATCATTATACTCCCTATACCTTTTATTCCCCTCCTATTCCATAATTTTACTCCTATCTTAACCCTTCTCTTTATTCTTTTATTAGGCCTCTTAATCGAAAGCAAACAAGGCAGCCTCAATTGATTAAAATTCTAAGATATATATTTAAACTTATAAACCCTGGCCTGCAACCAGAAATTGCCTTCTGGCTATATCTATCTTTAAAAGAAACAAAAAAATTTTGTTCTCAATTTCGACCTGAGCCTAGGCAATCGCCCTTTTTTAATAGAAGCCAAAATAGAGGCCCTTCACTGTTAATGAAGTTACTGATACTTTATCCTATTAAGACTATAAATATAGGGCTGCTAACCTCTAGAAAAATGTTTATCATTTAGTCTTTATTTTTATAGTATAATCATATTACCTAGTATTTTCAATACTAAAATGAAAAAATTTTCTAAAAATATCCTCAAGAACCCTATCTTAGCATTTTCAGGGCTATATTTTTCTTAAACTATGAGAATAAAAAAAATAACAATAAACAAAAATTAACCCAAAAAATCCAATAAAAACCTGAGCCACTCTTAAGATTAAATAATAAAAATTTACCTTACCCCCCACTTCCTTAAACCCCTCTATTATTATCCCCACAGATTTATATTCTACCCACCCTTCAGCATACTTTACTCTCTTATACCCCTTATCTACTACTTCTAATCTTAAACTAGAAAAAATATCTGACATAAATCATATTTTTGCAGTAAATCTCCTTAACAACCCTACAGACTTATAAACCCCCTTACTACAAAAAAAAATATAATTTATAAATCACACTAAAAAAATTAAAATCAAATTCAATACTTTTATCTCAAAAGGAATAATAATCATTCTAAAACTAAAAAAAAACAATCAACTATATATTGCCCCAAAAATAACAACAAACCCAGTCAAAACTAAAATAGGCACCCCATAAAATTTATCATTTACAAAACCTTGAGTAAATCTAACCCCTTGACCTCTCCATTTCTTTCATCTACAATAATATAATAGCCGCATAGAATAGTTCACAGTAAATATAATAGACATAACAATTAACCCTATTATTAAAATATTTAAATTCTGTATATAAATAAATTCTATAATTAAATCCTTTGAATAAAAACCACATAAAAACGGGAATCCTATTAATGACAAACTAGCCAATAAAAGACAAGAACTAATTATAGGAGCCCTTCTAAACACACAAACAATACCCCGAATATCCTGATACCCCCCTATTCTATGAATAATTACCCCTGCACATAAAAATAATATTGATTTAAAAACAGCATGCGATAATAAATGAAAAAAAACAAAATCTACTGCCCCCACTCTAACCACCATAAATATTAAACCTAACTGAGACAAAGTTGATAAAGCAATAATCCTCTTTAAATCTATCTCAAAATTAGCTCTCAACCCAGACATAAATATTGTCACAACTGCTACATAAAAAAGAAAATCTCTAAAATAGCCCCCTATAAAAATTATCTCATAACGTAACAATAAATACACCCCTGCAGTCACTAACGTAGATGAATGTACCAAAGCTGACACAGGAGTAGGAGCAGCCATAGCTGCAGGAAGTCACGCAGAAAAAGGTATTTGAGCACTCTTAGTCAAACCCCCTATAAAAAGAAATACCCCATAAATATTTATTAAAGGTAAAAACCCCATCTCATAAAATCCCCATCTTCCCGCATTTACTATAAAAATAATCCCCATTAATATCCCCACATCTCCTACCCTATTTGTTATAACAGTCAATATCCCCGCATTTTGAGAAGCCTCATTCTGATAAAAAATAACTAAACAATAAGAAATAACACCTAAACCATCCCATCCTAATATAATTAAAAATATATTCAAACAAACAATTAATATTAATATAGACAAAACAAACAATAATACTAATAATAAAAAAATTCCCCTATTAATTTCCTCTTTTATATAAGCGTTTCTATATATCAAAACACCTCTAGAAATTAATAAAACTACACTCAAAAATAAACAACTAACCCAATCAAAAAAAAAATAAATCCCTACATCATTCGTACTTATTATTAACACCCCATACTCATAAACAAAATAAATCTCATTTATAGCACACCACCCTCCTAAAAAAAAAAAAAAA